AGAGAGAGAGAGAGAGAGAGAGAGAGAGAGAGAGAGAGAGAGAGAGAGAGAGAGAGAGAGAGGGGAAGAAGACGTATATAAAACCAAACGAAAGACAAGGTGAGAGGCTGGGAGGCAGAGAGAGGTAGGTCAATGGGGACACGCAAGAGAGAGAGAGAGAGAGAGAGAGAGAGAGAGAGAGAGAGAGAGAGAGAGGGAAAAGGGGAGGGTGGGGGAGCGAGTGATTGCATACACAGGGGCCTACTTTTCCGCGCAATTCATCTCCAACACATCCATGGGCCAGATGGCCCAGCCCTACTTACAGATCGCATCGTGCCTCTCTTGAAGAGCAGTGCGCTCCTACATCAAATCAAATTGTGTCGAGTCTGGCGACCTACCAGTAGCCAACTACCTACAGTCTTCTCTTCTGGACGAGGGAGGAGGGAGGAGGGCCTACCAATACTACCAGTTATCGCTTGCCGTAACGGAACTCCGAAACTGCAGTGGAACGAAAAACCCACTACCGTGCTTCAGGCAGCACGGCCCCTGCGCAAGGACGACAAGCTTCCCCCCCCTCCCCCTTTCCCCCCCTCCCGCTCCCCCCAAAAGAAAACTGATAACCATTTTGACAACAATTGACAACCATTGTGATAACCAAATTGAGGCCGGGGACCCCACAATTCTGCCAGGGCGGAGTACTGAGAGCATTAGGGTCTCAGCTTCGCTTACAGTCCTGCGCAGACTGCTTGGGCTGCTCAGGCAAATTGAGATCCAAATACTTAGTTCAAAATATAGATAAACTGACGACGAAGTTGCTATTTTTCAGTCTCCCTCCTATATCTATCCTACCCTGTCCTAGTAGCCTGCTACGAGTACCAGGTCTCCTTCAGCCCAGTGGAGCAGAGGCTCCTTGCTCTAATGGCATTCCCCTGGCAGGCCACCCCTTCTCTACTGTGTCATCCTTGCGCAGGGGCCATGCTAATCTTCTCTGTATCGTTCCAATTTTAACGGATGTCCCGAAGGACCTTCTCTACTGTACGAGTGCCCTGGTTCAGTCTTTGTTTTTTTTTTGTTTTTTTTTTTTTGTTTTTTTTTTTGCCCTGGTCCTGTCTCTACCAGTACCACCACGCAAACTACACAACACTTTACATGCATTTGGACGCTCTCGGGACCACATGCATTCAACATGTTGGATACGTCCGAATGCACCTGATCGTGAAAACGTCCAGATGGACATAGAGCGTTGAGTAGTGTAGCGAGGCCCATAAATGACGAAATGCACGGTAGTGGGTTTTTCGTTCCACTGCAGATTCGGAGTTCCGTTACGGCAAGCGATAACTGGTAGTATTGGTAGTCCCTCCTCCCTCCTCCCTCCTCCCTCGTCCCTCGTCCAGAAGAGAAGACTGTAGGAAGTTCGCAGCCAGGAGGCTGCGCTATACCCGGTTGCATTTTGTCGCGTAGCGACAAGGTCTTTTTCTTGGAAATGTCGAGGAAGGCCAAAGGGGTTTATAGGGCGGTATAGAGGTTGTGTCGGGGTATCTCGGAAGGGTGAGGTCGGCGTCGTGCCTAAGACCGGTAGGCGGAACGGTCATGGCAGGGGCAGGAGGGCGGGCGACCTTGGCGAGTTTCAGAGGCCGTGGGCGGAGCCGGGCTTTCCCGATTTGGTAAGTTAATGGTCCTTTGGAAGCTGTGGCCCTCTTTTGGGGCCGGGGGAGCGTTTTAGTCCGTGCATCGTTTTCACACTCTCTTTTTTCCTTCTCTCATGATGGCTGTGCGTAGACTGAAATTTGCCCCAGATGCGGCTAGAATGACCGTACGTTTTCTCTTTTCCTTCGCCCCTGCTCTTCCTTGAGACTGCCCTTTGGTCTATGCTACGGCAGGCTGTTTCTCCTGTATTCTTTCATTCCTCCTACCGTCTTCACCTGAACACAACGCACCCTCGTTTTGATTGTACGGAACTCTCTCTCTCTCTCTCTCTCTCTCTCTCTCTCTCTCTCTCTGAAATCACTGCAACACACTTACTCTCACACACACCAGAGGGGGGAGCGGAGCCCTCCTCTCCCCACACACAGGCATCTCTCTCTCTCTCTCTCTCTCTCTCTCTCTCTCTCTCTCTCTCTCTCTCTCTCTCTCTCTCTCTCTCTCTCCCCCACAAAGGAGCATCATGCTTTTTCTGAAGGGATCTTTCTGAACCATTACGTGCTTTTCTCTCTCTCTCTCTCGAACTGGGGTGAATGAAAAGACAAAACACGCAGGGGGGCGAGGGGTGTGGGGAGGGGGGGGCGG